GGGCAGTGTTTCATTGCACTGTGCATAAAGTTGCTATGGGTCGGTACAGACTCGATGGCACCTAACAACAACAACAACTTCGCAGTACAGAACCTACTCGACAGCACTTAAAAAAAAACAATAGCAATTCAAGAAGACCTGGTGTGGTTCTGTGGGCTAATGCCCTGGACTGCAAAGTTGGTTTGAACAGCAAAGTTGGTGGTTCAAGCTCATTAGATGCTCCTCAGAAACCCTATACAGGGTTGCTATAGATTGGAACTGACTCAATGGCACTTAACAACAACAACAATGTTTGAGATTGGCTGCTAACGTAACCTCTGGTGGTTTAGACTCACCCAGCTGCTCTGTGGAAGGAAAGAATAATTAACTACTTCTGCAAACATAACAGTCAAGAAAACATGGATGAATCCTACTTTGTAAAACACGGAAATGTCAGGAGCTGGTGGGGAACTCAACAGTGGTCAACAACAACAAAATACAATTCTCACATATTAGATTTTTTTTTTTTTTTAGAATATTTCTCAAGATATGATCCTAGAATTCTTCCTTTCCCCCAATATATACAGCTTATGGTGCCCCAAAACTCTTTCAGTGTTCTTTGTAATATTTATTTTCTTGCTACAAGTCACTTAGGTCAAATCTGAAATTTAAAGGAGAAATTATGCTGACATTTTCATGTATTTATTTATCATAATCTTCTGCTGTGCACATGAAACATAAACAAGTCATCTTTCACTGTGGTAGTAAAGTGGAAAGGAAAGAATATAAACACATGAACAACTATACTATGCACTATGTGGTAGTTATGTGTGTTTTGGAAAATAATAAACACAAAAGTTCCAATATAGAGTTTGATCATAGGTTCTGTTTTTAAATAGAAAATAGATGAAGGGGAATTTTAAGAAAATACTCCATTGAGACACTTTATCACAAATATAGAAATATATAGATAATGTTTTGCTCTTTGTAGTTTCTAAACATACAATTTTATTACTTTTTTGTATCAAAACTTCTGTTCAAAGCAGGAGAATAGTAAAGTGGGCGCAAAAAGGATGTGAAGGTGGTGTCTGACTTCCTCGGACTTCATGAAAGAATGAAGAGTCGTTAGTGCAATACTAATTCTTATGACTCAAAGGTCAGACATGACTCGATCTTCCAAACTTCATTATCAATTCTAACACCAAACATTCCTCCTGTATAGCTTTCTACTTTGTCGCTGGTTTGATAAGTCATTGTAATGGCCATATAGAACTTACAGATAAGCTCACATTATGAGATTTATTAGGGAAGTTGTTGTTAAGTGCCATCGAATTGGTTCCAACTCATAATGACCTTAGAGTTCCCAAAGACTGGCTGGTGAATTTGAACTTGGTGTGGCACTGTAGGGTCAGCACTGGACTGTGACCCACAAGGTCAGCTCTTCCTCAAAACCCTATAAAGGGTGGTTATGGGTTAGAACTGACTCGCTGACACTTAACAACAACAACAAACTTGTAGTTCGAACAAATTTTGCAATTCAGTACTTATCCAAAGTTAACAAGATACAATTCACTGCCATCAAACAGTCATTTGGGTCAGGAGTGCCTGTTCTCAGCCATGCCTATAGGCATGTCACTTTCTGGTCTTCAGTGTCTAATCCACATGACACATTGACCTCTTCAGGTAAGTTCTACAACATTCCTTTAGTATTGGTAATAAATGTCTAAGGGCACCCCACTCTACACGTCAGCCTCCTGACCAAAGGCACTTAGCTTTACTTGCTCCTTGGGCCAAAGCTTGCACTGCTTCTCCATGCAAGGATCGTCATGATCCAAAAGACATACTCCATTTGTGACTCTTCTTTCTTGATAGTCGTGAGATTCCCAATGTCTGCTTTGAGATGGCATGTTTTAAACTTAGCTGGATGGCAAAACTAACCAATCCCCACATGACAGTTTCATACATCCTATTTGCATGGTCCCACCCAAACATTTAGTGGGAGTTGCATACTATGGTTGGTGGTTGTTGGTAGTCGTTGGTTGTTATGCGCCATGGAATCCATTCAGACTCACAGCGATCCTGTATAGGGTTTCTGAGGCTGTAAATCTTTAGGGTATCAAAAGCCTTCATCTTTTTCCTGTGAAATCTCTGGGAGTTTCAAACTGCTGACATTGAGATTAGTAGTTCAAATTGTAACCATTACACTATCTCTTTAGAAACTATATATTAAATAATTATCTGAACCACATGAGGGAATAGAAAAAACACTAAAGGTAAAATTATTATTTTGAGTATCCATCTAATAATTATTACTGTATTTAACCAGCTTTCCATTTAAATATTATATTGGGCATTCAACTTTATATTGTATTTATAGCAATGTTATAATGCTTAATACAGTTCCATAATTAATCAATTAGATGTTAAGTGTTATATATCATACGCTATGTTGATTTTGGGACTTTAAATGTTATAATATATCAATAATCATCTCTGCTTGGACATATTGTAAGGAGGGAACAGTTGCTAGAAAAGGATATCATGCTGGGTAAGATGGAGGGTCAGAGAAAAAGAGGAAGACCCCCAATGAGATGGATCGGCCAGGTGACATCATTGATGGCATCGAGTGTGGAGGCGGTAGTGAGGTTGGCTCAGGATCGGACATTGTTTCATTCTGCTGTGCATGGGGTCGCTATGAGTCGGTTCTGACTCGATGGCACCTGACAACAACAACAACAATTGCAGTCAAGTTAATTCTGACTCATGGAAAACTCATACATATAAGAGCACAGCTGTAGACCATGGGATATTCAGTAGCAAATTCTTGGAAATAGATGACTAGGCCATACTTCTGAGGTTCCTCTGGGTAAACCGAAACCTCCAAACTTTCTGTTAACAGTCAGCTGAGTGTGATAACACTTTACACCATACAGGAACTTCCTAATAACCATAATCATATATTGCATAATATTGTTACTATACTATGTTGTTGTTAGGTACCATTGAGTAAGTTCAGACTATGTGCAACAGAACAAAATACTGCCTGGTCCTGTGCCATCATCAAAGTTGTCATGTTTGAGCTCATTACTGCTGCTACTATGTGAATCCCTCTATTTGAGGGTCTTCTTCTTTTTCACCAACCCTCCACTTTATGAAGCATGATATCCTACTCCAAGCATTGGTCCCTCTTGCTAAATTGTCTGAGAAAAGCCAGATGAAGTCTAATCATCATGACATCTAAGGAGCATTCTAGCTAAAATGTACCTATTAGAACAGATTTGTTTGTTCTTCTAGCAGGCCATAGCACTTTTAATATTATTCTCCAACACCAAACTCAAATGTATCAATTCTTCTATGCTCTTCCTTATTAATTGTCTAACTTTCACATGTGAGGCTATTGGCAATACCATGGCTTGAGTCAGGCACATATTAGTCCCAAAACTGACATTTTTGCTCTTTAACACTGTAAACAGATCTTGTGCGGCAGATTTGCTTAACATGATACATCATTTAGTTTCTTGTCTGCTGCTTCTCTATCAAAGCAATATGAAGTCTTTGACAACTTCTTTTGATAATGGTTTTATTTATTGGTCCAGTTGTTGAGGATTTTAGTCTTATTTACATTGAGGTACAACTCA